AATGAACCACATTATTTAACGGTTACAGAACGGTGAGTGTTCTCTGGTTCCAGAAATAAATTAATCATTTATTGTGAAGGATCACTTTCAATGACCTTTGTCTGAAAAAACAGTTGATATCAAACACAACCTCGTAGCTTGTGTTAAGTCTACCATGGATGGTTAAAATAATACGGCCGATAATTAAAATCTCATTCAGAAAACAACAGAAATGTTTCCTTCTTGAACTGTGGAGCTCGATCGGTTGTGTTGTCAACAAACCTTGTCAAAGTTACGCTGCTTCTTGTCCATCACCACAGTGGCGGCGTTGGAGCGTTCGAGATCAACCATCAGGTCTTCCATCTCTGTCTGCAGCTTCAGTTTGGTTTTCTCCAGCGAGGAACATTTGGCCTGAGACGCCTCCACAGCCTCTTCATTGGTCTGCAGCTTGATCACCAACTTCTTCCTACAAACAACAAACAAGATCAATAGAATGACAGGAGGGAAGATACAGAATACAGGGTATGTGCAAATATGAAGGTAAAAGGGTTCATCCTCTGGGAGCAGGATCATGATCAGTGCATGTTCATATCTGATGTGTACATGACGTTTTCCCACAGGTGGTTTGGGGTCAAAATATCTTGGAATCAAAACACATAAATAAGGCCGGGTTCATGACCTGTATCCAGCCACCAGGGGGCGGTCCAGACACCTTTGGGGAGCTGTTACTCCATCTTTATTGACTCTTGTCTCTGAACAGTGACGGAGCAGCAGCTTGGTCTTACTTTGCTTCCTCCAGCTCTTCTATTCTCATCACGGCCTCTGTCTCGTACTTGGCTCTCCACTGCACCACCTGGCTGTTGGCTTTAGACAGCGCCCTCTGCAGTTCAGCCTTGGCCTCCTGCTCCTCCTCCAGCTGCTCCCTGAGGAGGCTGCAGTCGTGACGGGTCGCCTGCACGGAGTGAGCCAGTGCTGCACGAGCCTGAAACACAAACCTGCTTCTTTAACAAACGACCACCAGTCACAGAAACAAGCTCGTTAAGATGTGAGAGTAAAACGCTCTCTGGTGGTTCAGCAGTGAAATGACGGCTCATGGTTACTTTGTTCTCCTCCTCCAGCTGCCTCTTCATATCTTCGGAGTTCTGGCAAACCCCCGCCTTGGAGCGCTGAAGCTGACCAATCATAGCTTCCCGCTCCTCCAGACGACGGCTGAATTCAGCTGCGAAAACAACGTCAGGGTGAGTTCAACCTTCTTATCATATTTGGTATTTTATTTTTTATTTTTAATTACATTTGGATGTATCTTTGGCCATCCCTGCATGTGTGTGTGTGTGTGTGTGTGTGTGT